CCCCATTTTTTTCATTTTTAAGCAGTTTTTTATCAGATTTTAATCCGGAAATTTGTTAACAAAACCTGTGATTTTCCAGAACTAAAAAACTGGATTTTTTTTTACAGGGTTCGTGAGAGGGAGTAAGCATCTTTTCTGGTTACTTTGTTTAGCTTCCTATAGTCAATACATAATTTTTTCTTTCCATTTTTCTTTGTAACCATTACGATCGGTAATGACCAAGGGCTGTTTGATCGCTGAATAATACCGGCTTCCAGCATTTTTTCGATCTCTTCGTGAATGAACTCTTGGTCAGGTATGGTTGCTCTATACATTCGTTGCTGAATCGGGGCTGCCTCTCCAGTCTCGATGACATGTCAGACTAAGTTAGTTCCTTGTAGTTGGCTGAAATTGGTAACAAAGAGATCTTGATATTTATCCAGTAAGTGATCTAATTGTTCTTTTTGGTTCAGAGTGATGGTCCGTTGCTTGGATGATAATGGTTCTTCATTTTTATTCAGGAAGTACGCATCCAGGAACCAAAGCTGTCAGATCCTCTGCTACTTCACCCTAATTTGCTTCGGTGATTTACTTGTTGAAGTTTTTTGATCGGAGCTAGTTGGAGAAAAACTGCCTGAGCGATTCGATCATTTTGCCTAACAACATGAGAATAGTTGAATGTGTTGGATAATATCACTCCGATGTTGCCAGTATATCCTGTGTCAATTATTCCTCCTTTCACTTCGATTCCTTTTTTGACCAAGGAAGATTGAGACATCAACTGACACATGGTTCCTTCCGGTATTTCCAAGGTGATGTGCAGATCGATTACAATCATCTGTCGAGGTTCGATTACTAAGTTGGTTTGTTCGGGATAATAGAGATCAAAGCTGGCATCAGTAGAATGAGCTCGTTGTGGCATTTTTCCTTTGTCTTCTTCATTGTAGACTTTAATTAGATAGTTATTGATCTTCTCCTCTATTACTACTTCTTCTTCAGAATAGTAGTCGTCTAAAATTTCTTCACAAGTGTCGTAGGCGCTATCGCTATCGGATTCGTTTGGACTTCTTTCTCTGTAGCCTGTAGATACTCGAGAAGATTGGAAAAAGTCTTTTGTGTGTCGTGAACTCCTTTTTGGAAAACCTGTTGAGTCGATTCTAAAGTCTGGATGAGTTCATTAACAATGGTAGGTTGTTTTCGTTGGTGATCCATTTTCATTTCTTCTAGAATCTAATCCGTTTGAATAAATAATTTTTCCCAGTCTTCGACCTCTTCCTCCTCGAAACTAAGAGTTATCTCTCTCTTGACACCTCTGGCGAGGATTTCCGGTGGCTCCTCTTCGAAGATTTCCTTTTCCTTTCTTTGTCAGTCCTGACAAAGATTACTTTGTTCTGACCCGATTGTACATAATCAGTACAAATATCTCCATCGCAGGGTATGAGATACTCCTTGCATAAGCGAACATTGATGAATTTCAAGTGGACCAACTGGATTCTTCTTTTGGGAAAAAGCTGCTGATAGATAGCTTGGAAGATCTTGGTAGCCGTTGCTTCCTCAAATCCTTCATATTCTATATAATTAGCTTCGTTGTCCAGGTCGTCCGGCTGTATGTATCTGGAAAGGATGGCTTTACCGATCTCGTTGCATTTCTCGTATACTTCCATCAAGGCATCTCACTCTCAGAGTTTATGAATGGTATCAGAATTCTTTTACCACCCTCCTTGATCAAACCAATAGATGCATTGATGCTCGTAGGTACAGAAGTATCTCTTATCGTAACTTCCAGTGATATACATGGATCAGACTTCGTCACGGTGGTTGCAGACAGCGCAAGCTGGTAGGTTTAGTTTATTTTCAATTATACAATCTCTGCTTTCATTCCATCTTTAGTAAAGTACGCTTTACTATGATATAGGTCGATATATCAGGAACATTCATTGCATTGTTCAATTTGATCGGTCGGGATTATTTTTCGTTCAGCTTCTTCCTGGTCAATAAATCTTTCTTCAGTTCGCTGAGCTATGAAGAGCTCGCGTTCTACCTCTTCGGTCCAATTTGTTTTAGTTTTCAATTCTGCCCGATATGGTCGATATTGCTGGATGGTAATCCAATCAGCCAAGTCGTCATTACAAGATCAGCATCAGTGGTTATTTGTGTAGAGTCATTTGTCGCACCAACACTTCTTGTTTGATCCCTTCCAATCAAAAGACCACCATTGTTCCAGTACACTTTCTTGTTTGAATTTTTCAATGAGTCGACTACAGTCATTCCAGGTAAATTTCTTCCATCTGATCTTCATTCCTTCTTGGTAGGCTTGAACATCGTTAATGTACTTGATGCTTTTGATCACCCACATAGATACAACCTCAGCGTCGATATACCGTAATTCTCTTCAGACCGTTTTAATCGATGTCCATTTTTCTTCCAGTATAATTTTTATGCTTTTCTCAGGTTGAAATTGGACTTTCTTCTTTCAGGGTTGGATGGTGATTCAGTTATCATTCATACTGAACATCAGGTAAGATTTCTTATCCAGATTTTGTTCTTCGAATTCGGATTCTTCATCTTTTGAATCTTCGTTATCATCTTCTTCCTCAGATTCTTCCTTATCATCTTCGTCGGTAAAATTCGTGAAGTGGTTTTAGTTTTTCTCTCGCCAGTCAAATATTCGTGAGTGGCCAAGAGAGAATTGTTTGTGACCGTTCCATTTTGTAGTGCATCGGTGAGCTGTTGGATCTGTATCAATAATGCTGTATTAGTATTGTTGTTTATTTGTCCATTGTTCGCTGATCCACTTGATGCATTTGGTCTGGTGTTGTTTTGCAGATGCGAATTCCTATTATTCGCATTATTGCGATCTTGCCAACCATTTCCTCGATTTTGCTGGTAACTGTTGGTGGGAATTGATTTTGAACATCCAGTACTGATGTGTCCTTCTTGCCCACAATTGGAACAGGTTATTGGCCATCTGTTATATTGGGTAGTTCTTGCTGGATATCCACTCTGGCTTGTATTTTGGTGGGTTGGTGATGTTTCCAGATGTTTTAGCCTACGGGTTAGTACATGGAGAGCAGTCGTCAGCTCGTCAAGTTGGAGGTTTGGGGAATTGCTGGCCTAATGATATGATCTTGCTATCAGTCTGGATTTAGCTTCCTCGGCTTTCTTGGCGACTTTCATGGTATTCAATAGGGTTCCGTCTGAATTTACTTTCACCCACTTTTGTAACTCTGATTTTAATCCACAGTGGTAGATACGAACATGGCTCTCTTCATGTATGTGATTCTCCGGGTCTACTTTACGAAGCAGTTCGTAAAATTTATCAGTGTATTCGTTTATGGTTTTGACTTGCTGTAACTCTTCTAACTCGTCTCGCCACTTGTCTAATCTTTGATGGATCCAAAACTTCAATGCGAAGTGATGTTTGAAATCATGTTCGTCATGATGATTGTTTGTCCAGTCGGTTAACGCAGTGGCATTGTTCGCTGCTCATTCATCAAACCAGATAGCGGCTGGTCCTTCCAAATATCCTCGCACGATTCTAATCCTTCTTGTGGGGATAATTCCGTTTGCTTCTGCGACTACCTCGAAGTCTTTGAATCATGCAACTGGGTCTTGATCACCTCTACAGAATTTCTTCATTGGAATAATCATCTTTTCCACAGCTCTGGTATTCTGTCTGATCAATATGACTGTCAGTTGCTGCACGGCGTTCAACACGTCATTAACATTGACCATGTTTTCTTGTTCGTGGGATGGGCTTTCTCTTTGCTCGGGTTCGTCATCTTGTTCTTCGTCAGTTTGGCTTGTATCATTATCTTCGTTGATAATTGTTTCCTCAATGTAGATTATTTCTTCTTCGTCATCAGTGTGTGAATTTTCTGAACTAAAGAAATCGATTAGATTTCCGTCTTCAATTGATTTTTTGGATCTTCTTTCTTCGTCACTTCCTTCGGTCTGCGTTCCGGCGTCAATTGTTTCAGAGTAATACTCGTTGGAATTGTTTTCTTCTGGATCCTCGTTGTCAGAATTGTTCTGCTCGTTGGTGTGGGTTCCAACGAATCTTTTATAGACGAAATTAATGAGCTAAATTTGATCGTCTACTACTAGATATTCTCCAAATAGAACGGTGTTCAATAAACGAACAATTCTTTGATGGATTATGGTCGGATGAACTTCACCATAATCATAATCGACCAGTTCTTGAAACGTCTGTTGTGAAATACGGTTATACGATTTTGCTCCGGCAGTTTCAATCCAAAGCCAAAATTGACAGAAAGGAAGAGTGTGTTCTTGGAAAGGGGAGTAACACAACAGGCAATAGGGTTGTAACAGTGGATTTCATTCTTCTCCAGGAAGATGTTGTTCTAGATGATTATTGATCAGTTCGCCGGTGAATGTGCAAACCTCGTTCATTCACTGTGGCAGAATTCTTCTCAAATTTTGGAATATGGACAAGTAATTCCACAGAGGGAGCACCAAAATGTTATGTCTATTTTTTAATTATTATAATTAGAGAATAGTGAATAATATAAGTTTTTGAGCTATGACTAAATAATTTACTTTAAGAGGGGTTCTCTAAAGGTTCTAAAGGTCTTTTGTGGTGATTTTTACGAAAATCAACAAGGTGAAGAAAAAAATAATAACAAAGGGAGTTTCAATAATCAAAGAGAAAAAGTAGAGGTTAACTTAACAGTGATTAACTTGCTTTAACAAAACAAAAACTAATATTCTCAAATATTCTTCAGATCTTCTTACAATGACCTGGTACTACAAAATATGCTTTACAATAAGTACTATCACAAAAGGTTGAATTTATTGATATGATCAACAAAACAAAATACAATAAAAAAGATATAGCTTATTTAGAGTAGAGACCTTCTACTATCAATTTATGTTAGGTACAAAAGAAATAAAAGCCACTTTTGTAAAAGATTTGAAGATAATCAAGCAAAAAGAATTACAACAAGTAAGTTTTTTAAAGTTACTAGTTAAAGCTTTTATTTGATTAGAGCATGCTTCCAAGAGGTTCAAGAGCACCTCTATATATAC